TTAAATTATTAGAAGAATTTTTCACTATGTAACAAAAAACAAAATTTGTTTAATTTACTGTTTGTATTTTGAGAACGATTTCCGAAGTGGAAATTGAAACGCCAATAAACGTATTTTTATCTTTAATTGTGGCTTATTTCCAGTTAAATAGTAATTAATATCGAATATACCTTTCTGTAGAAGAATTTAATTGTTCTAAATGTCGAACAATAGGACACCGAGAAGTTGACTGCATTCATAAAACGGATTCGCCCAGTGAACAAATGGAAACATAAGTACCTGAAAATCCTAATTCAAATAACCAAACCAATATACAGCTAACTGAAACCACCAATAAAACTCCTTCTAAAGTAAACATTCCCTATAACCCTCGAGCTCATATCCTATCTATAAGTAGCAATGATAACCCACCTTTAAATAAAAATAAGACCAAAAGACAATTATCAAATTCTCCAGATATTTCTGATATTCCCACATCACAAGACGTCTTCTCTGTTCCCAAAACATCTAAACCGAAAAAAAGAGCCAAGTCTACTGAAAACACATTTGCTGTCCTCGAATCTATTAAAAACTTAATAGAACAAAAAAATCCGTCCTTTCCTATAATTCATTCAGAAATATGCCTATTTTTAGAAAATGCCAGTAACTCTAGAAACGCTGAACTTATAGCAAAAGAATACACCAATGAAATATCCGAAATTATTGACATTCTCACTTTTATCCACGGAAATATTTAAAATCCCTCTTTAAAAAGAACAATTACAACTATTAAGAAGAAATTATCCTCAAATTATTATTCATCTACAGAAGAATCTGACAACGACACAATTAGTCGGGATAAATAATGTCTCATACATTTTTAATTCAATTTAACCTAAAAGGATTCTACACTCACCTCGAGCAATTAAAACTTCTTGTAAATGATTTCTCTCCCATTGTAGTTCGTCTGAAAGAATCTCACTTTAAAAACAATTCTGTAACACCTAGAATTTATGTGCCATTTCTGAAAAACAGAAATGGAATGCATGCTAATGGTGAAGTAGCTACTTTCATTCGAAATGACACTGAAGCAAAAATCATTCCACTTACTACAAACCTTGAAGCTGTGGTTGTGTCAATACTTACTGTATCCTAACCAAGACGACATAAATAAACTAACAGCACTCATAGTGCTGTTAGTTTAATGAAAAATTACTCCATCCCAAAGTAATTCTAGGTGATTTTAACTGCCAGCACCCAGCGTGGGGTAGCCAAAAAATCGATAAATGTGGCAACCGTCGACAAAATCTGATAAATAAATCAAATTTAATCTTACTAAACAATGGAAAGGCAACAAGATTCAATTCATATAACGGATCATTGTCTGCAATTAACCTGACTCTGTGTAGCCCATCACTAGCACACATGTTTCAATGGAACACAGCAAAAACTATGCACGACAGTGACCACTTCCCCTTACTTATTTCAATCGAGACAAACCAACATCTTAATCCGAATGCATATAAAAGATGGAAAATAAAATAAGAAAACTGGGAACATTTTCAAAAAGACTTGGAAGACAAGATGGAAAATTATGAGATATCAAATGACAATCACAAAACCGTCACGGACTTTAACAGCATTATCTTAGATTGTGCATCTACACCTGTAGGAAAAACTAAACCGTGTAAAAGGCAACCGGTACCTTGATGGAATCAAGAAATGTCTCGGGCCTTGGCTGCTAGCAAGCTCGCCTTTAACGTTCTTAGGAGACACAAAACAGAAGAAAACATAATAAAATTTAAGAGATTGAGAGCTAGTACACAATTCTTAATGAAAAAGAGTAAGAAGGAGACCTGGATTGAATATGTTAGAAGCATTAACACATCTACCCTAGCATATATAATCTGGAACAAAATAAAGTAAGATAAAAGTATCAAGTTTACCTTACTCAATAAATGCACTTTCATATAATAACCAAATCATATCTTGTAGAAATGAAATTTCTAAAATTCTAGTAGACTTATTTCAAAAAAAAAACTCCAGCGATTCTGTACTAGATCCGATCTTTTCTAGACACAAGATTACCACAGAATCTGTAGACATCAAAACTCGCAACCAGATCTCTCCCATAAATGCACCCATAACTTTGCAAGAATTAGATTTTTCTCTTTTAAACTTAAAAACCACATCCCCAGGTCCTGATGATATTCCATCAATATTTTTAAAAAATCTACCCCAAAAATGCAAAAAGATACTTTTAGACATCTTTAGTCACATATTTTTAAATCATTACTTTCCTGATAATTGGAACAAGGCTATTATAATTCAAATTTATAAACAACACAATCCAAAAGATTGTCCCACATCTTACCGTCCTATTTCCCTCAACTGCATCATGTGTAAACTTCTCGAGAAGATTGTAAATTGGTATGTAAAAAATAAAAATCTCCTGACCACAGTCCAAAGTGATTTTCGACGAGGTAGATCTGCTAACGACAACTTAGTGGCACTTGAGTCAACCATTCATGATGCATTCTTACTAGATCAGAAAGTTATAGCAGTCTTTTTTTATGTGGATAAAGCTTTTGACACATTATAGAGATACCTCATATTAAATAAACTTGATAAATGGGGAATTTAAGGGCATATGCTTGCGTTTATAAAAAACTTTCTGAAGAAAAGGGAAATACAAATAAGAGAAAATGGAAACACCTCTACCACAAGAATACTCGACAACGGTGTTCCACAAGATTCAATTTTAAGCTCAACTGTATTTTTAATTACATTTAATGATGTAATAAATACAATTAAGCCTCCTATAAAAGCAAACTTATACGCTGATGATTTAGTTGTGTATATTAAATGCAAAAATATTACATCTGTGGCTAAAATACTGCAGAACCTTCTATCCAAAATCTAAGAATGGTCTTCCAAAATAGGCTTCCTCTTTTTAACTAATAAGACACATTACACAGTTTTCAGCAAACTCAAGAATACCATTTAGTTTCGTTAATATTTAACGGTCAAAATATATATATCATTCAGAGGAATCGAATTTTTTGAGCCTAACGTTTGATTACAAATTAAACTGGAAAACACACATTACGACTTTACAATTAACTGGTCAAAATAGAATAAACTTGCTGAAAATTCTATCCAATAATATATGGGGAGCTGATTCTAGTATTCTGCTAAACCTCTACATATCAATTATTCGCAGTAAACTAGACTACGGTGCAATATGCCACAGCATATTGCAATATGATACAGCAAATAAAACGTTCCTAAAAAGCTTAACACAATTCAAACAACAGCTCTAAGATTAGCCGTCGGTTCCTTCAGAACCAGTCCTGTAAGCAGCTTACAACTAATATCAAGAGAACCCCCTCTATATCTAAGACGACATCTACTTAGTTTAAATTATGCTGCAAGAATATCTTCCAATAAAAAGCACCCATAATATTCTGAGATTATTAACGCACCTACATCCAATTTGTATAGAAACAAACATTATAAAGACAAACCCTTTAGGAAAAGAATCAATCAAAAAGGATTTAATTGCAATGAATTTAAATTATCCATAACCACAAACTTAGATTTCTCAGTGCATCATCACAGATTCACTCAGTGCCTTTCATGGAATTAATCAACTTTACCCTAACCATCCTATTGCACAAAATATAAGAAATGAACTTAATGCAGTACACCATATAAATAAAAAGGTTACGTATTTCGATATCTTTAGATCTAAAGAGAACGAAATACGTATATGCGGCTTGTTGCTGCTCTGTACCAAATCAAAATCTAATATTTGGAGTACCAGAAATCGAATTTACTACGAATATAGGCCATGATAAACGGCATTTGGAGTGCAATTTTTAGACTCCCTTGCCGATTCATTCATCAAGCTGTTTGCTTCGCAAGTTTTAGGGAGCACGGTGGCTTATATTTGAATTCGATTTCGCCAGGTAAAAATCGTATGATTTCTCTTTTTTTTTAAAGGTTACATTTATCTGGATATCTTCACACATTGGCATTAAAGGCAACGAGGAAGTTGATCAATTGGAATTAAAATCCATCAAAAATGAAAATGTTCCAGAAATTACTAAATATCCCCCACACCGACCATAAACGACATATCATGAATCATAATAAATTTATGGCAAGCAACCTAGGATGCAACCGACTTTAAGTTGAAAACAATAAATCCTCGAATAGACGCCAGCTTATCACAACAAGGAAAAAAAGAGATCAAGTAATCGTAAATCGTCTTCGAATCCGCCACACAATACTAACACACCAACACCTTCTAAATAAAGAACCAGCTCCGATTTGTACCTACTGCTCTACTCAACTCACAGTGAAGCATCTGATAGTCGACTGTCCGCAGTTCTAACCTCAGAGAACATGCCGAAGAGTTAGTGAAAACCTGATAAGTGCGCTTACGACAAATATCTTACGTACTGCCAATAAATCTCGGATTTATTACAGTTTCTAAAAGGCATCAACATTTATAATAAACTTTAATGTATCAAACTGTACTACTGTGTATGCCCCCCCACTAATAACCCTTGGTAGTTGATGTGGGTTTTGTATGTTTAATTAAAAAAGACAAAGATCTGACGATCTTATTAATTATGTTTGATTTTTTCTCAAGTTTTCGTTCATCATACTGTTAACTTAAGTAAATTTTTATACCCTTTTCGCAGGCTTACTATATTATTTCTATTAAAAGTTCATCATCAATTTTGATTAAAATATTTAGACTTCCTTACTGTTATTTTTGTCCCGGTTTAGGTTAGCACAAGCTTGCCGTTTTGGTTTTACTAGTAGTATTCTGCATGTATTTTGGTAGCTTTAGAATTGTAAAAATATTAAATAGTCTATAGCTTATTTGGTCCTTTTTATATATTTTTACTTTATTTTTATTTTTTTTACTTTGACCACTAATTAGTAAACATATTTGTGCAAGAAGTTAATGTACGTACCCTTATAATAATGTCAAATTTTATTTTCAGTTTTACTCAACGTGGTATCTCGACCAGCCATGAATGAAGTTTACCTGATCATAATTTCCTATTTTATACTAGTTACTTTCGTTACTCTTGAGGTAAGTCACAAATATGTATTTATGAATATATAATGAATATGTAATATATATATATATATATATATATATATATATATATATATATATAGGAAAGGAAAAGGAAAAGAAGTCTTTGATGACAACGTTAGAAAACGGAGCTTTGAGGTTTATTGGGATTTATTCAGCGGTGAAATAAGTGTACTCTTTTAACTAAGTTTCAAGCTTTCGAAAATGTTTATTTTCATCATCAGGAAAAAACTGAAAATAAAGTGCGACTGTTAGTAAAGCATCCTCGAAATTAGTTATAGTGAACGGTTATAAAAATCGAGAAAAAACTTACGTTAGTGAGGTTGGTCTTTCGTGGATGTTTCATTTACAGTGATATCAACTTATCTAAGCATAATTGTGCCCTTGCACAGCATGCTATTAACACTAAACACAAAGTAGCTTACTTTAAATTATCTCAGATTTATGCAACTTACATTTCATGACTTAATGTCAACGTTGCTTTTGAATAATTGTATTAACTGTTTCTATTTAAATAGTTTAATACAACAAGTCGACGAATAGGTGATGGGTTTCAACGTTTCGACAACGTTTTCGACAACGAATAGGCAACGTTTTCGATGGTAGGTGGTCTTTCGTTTGGGTTGAAAGGATTCCAATCATTTCGATTTGCTATGGTGTTATTTGCTTCTTCGATATGATGGCCATTAAATTTTGCATCGAAAAATTCAACCCATCTGTTTAGGATTGAGGCCGTATTATTTAGGATGTTTCCTTCTACATCCTTACAGCTCCTTATTCTTGGCTTAAACTCTTTGTCTTTTTCTTCTTCTATGTAATCGTTTTTCTTCTCTTCTTAGTGTCCGGTATTCTTCCTTTGCTCTTCTTGTGCGTCCAGCTTAATTTGTCTTTAGGTATGCCCTGTTTTTGTTAACTGTTGCTTCTTGACACTCCTTGTCAAACCATTCGTTTTATTTAACTGATCTCAACCGATCACTGGGGGGGAAAATGGAGTTCTCAACCACCTTTTCCTTTCATTTTTTGGTTTATACCAAATTTTGTCATATTAGTTAAATAAACCGCTCTATTGTATTAGAGTTGGTAGTAATACGCCTTGTTGTTCTGTCACGCGTTGACCTCAAGGCATCTGTCTTTTCACGTTGTTAGCGTTATAACACCTGTTGCCTTCATTTCACCGGCAGCAGTCTAGAAGCTTGTAGTGGTAACTTCATTATACTTTTAAATTACTGAATTTTTAATTAATCATTTTAATAATGCTACCTAAAGTCAAAATTAAATCTCAACTATTGATTTATTGTTGGAAGTGCATCTTAGATTTTTTAGTTCTTCTGCACATTAATTGTACGTTTTTATTTAATTTTTTAAGTATTTTTTTATATAATTTATAAGTTTATGAAAATTGTTAACTATATTTAGTTCAATTTGTTGTTTATACAACATAATTATACAATGTCCATTGTCGTAAACTTCTTTACAATTGTTAATATCACTGACTGCTACATATCTTTTTGAGGTAACATACTAAATAACTTTTCATTGGATGTTAGGTTTTTCATATTGTTCTTTTTAGATGAACTGACATGAACATATTCAATGTATACGATATTATATATTACATCATTCGACGTACAAATAAATTACACATTTGTATAATTACATTGTTGTCAACTGCCTCTTCATTATTTTTTATTGTTTATGTTTATATTGTACTCGAATGCTAGGTACCCATTTTATTAGTTTTTGTTACTTTTCTTCTCTTAAAATTTATTTTCATTCCAATGTTCGTTATTTTCCATATTTTAGTTTTCATACATCTTTGTTACGGACACGGAGTATGTCAATTGCAAACCACTGTAAAAGTTGTTATAGGCATTTCCATAAATCTTACCTCATGCCAAACGCAGCCTTTAAGTGTACACAAGGCAAGCTTATTTCCGTTTCGTTTTATAGTTGCCTTTCTGTAATATTTCTTAATATGTGATTATTATTAATATGTATGTTGTTATTTATTTGTTTACCAGTTCTACGTGGCTTCTACAAAACCCTTTTTTTTTTTGAAAAAACCGATTTCGCAAGTTTTTCTTACCTTAATCGTTATATGTGCTTCTTTTAGTTCCTGTGTACTTCAGAGTTGTTATTTCAGATATTATATGTTTTTAATTGGATATGATATACTCGATTTCGTTTTTTGTTTTCCTATCTGGATTTCTTGATGTCTATCTTTTAGTTTGTGGCTTTTTAAAGAAACTATTTACACAATACAGGTCTTCTCTCTGTCGGAAGTTGATTTCAGTCTTTTCCCCCTCATTTAAGTTTACCTAGTTCAAAGTTTCCTCTATTTTTAAAATTGTCGATGTTTTTTTTTCACCTAGTCTAGCATTAAATTCGCCCATAATGATACAGCAGTACGAAATTTCTACTTTTTGTGCCATTATTAGATCTTCATACCCTTTTTCTATTTCTACCTCTTCCGCAGGCTTGTTTGAGTATATACTCAGTGGTAGCGGGTAGTTACTCTTGTTTTGATTATTTGTCCTAAATTCTTATTCTTTTATACCCATATTACGAAGGCTATTATATCTAAATTTACGCATTCTCTAAATTTTCTGTTTTTTTAATTTTTTTCATCGTTTCCTATACGACCATTTTGCTTTTTATTGTATTTATCTATTTGTGCATTTCAGTCACCCATTGTTAAATTCTATTTGCTTTTTCTTTTTGGTCAGTCAATTGTGTTTTAAATTTTTTGTAAAAAACTTCCATATCATTTGTAGTTTGCTCTATTGGGACGTAAGTTTGAAAATACTTTAAATTTTTTAAGCTGCCGTTTATTTAACATAATTTTTGAGATTTTAAATTCTAAAATAAACCTTACTACTGCTACCCATAGTCCTTATTTGGTCCTACCATTTATTGTAAGCCTTAGTATTAAAGGTAATAATGCCCAATCTGCATATCTGCTAGTCCGATAATTTTATTTCGAATATGTCTAAAATATTAATGATACTGGTGATTTCTTACATTAATTCTATCTTTCCTTTAAGGATGTAATATTGCACGTTTAAATTATTAGTATAGATATGTATGTTTTTACCTGTTTTATTTTAATTTCTTTAAAATTTTTTTGTATCTTTAATGAATGAAGGGCACAAAAGAAAACGGAATATGGCAAAGAAGATAGAACTTTGAACTATACAAAATATACCAGGATCAGGATATTACAACATTCATTAAAATAAAACGGCTGCGTTGGATAGGATATGTAGAAAGAATGGAAGAAGGCGAAATACCAAACAAAATATTCAAACAGATGACAGTAGGAAAAAGAACAGGAGGAAGACTAAAGTTGAAACACCTAGAACAAATAGAAAATGATATAACAAGCTTAAAAATAAAAAATAAAACTGGAGAAAAAAGCACGAAACAGATGAGAATGGAGAAGAATCCTGGAACAGGCCAAGACCCAAACAGGATTGTCGAGCTAGTGATGATGATGATGACACTATTATCTTTATTCTTTGATCAAATGATGACACTACCATATGATCTTAATCAAGCATGAAAAAGGAAAAGTAAAAAGATTCACGAACGTGAACACTACCTTTCAATGGATATTAAAAAGAATGGTATATTTAACTTTAAACAGGTGAAGAGATACATTGAAGAAAAAATAGATTGGTAAGAGCAGATAAGTTAATACTAATATAAGACAGAATAATAGAGTTTACTTATGAATAGAATTAATAAAATGTATCACAGGATACAGAATCACAAAACTAGGTATCATATGCTGATACCTAGTTTTGTGATTCTGTATTCTGCTATTTTCCAGAACCTTGGAGTATATTTCAGTTTAAATGAAACAATAATAAGGTATATTAATTCGTTTATGAATTGTGTTAGCAGCTACTTTATTTTCTCAACAGTGATGACATTAAAGCGTGAGATTATTCTTAAATTATTATTATCAATGTTGATTTCATCTATAGCATTCGTGTATATATATTTTGGTACGTGTATACCATTAATGAATTTCTAAACTTAGCGTTTTATGTATAACTAATCAATAGAAGAAATTATATAGTCGCAGGAAATGCACACACGGTTATTCATAACTTGTGAGATATCTCATCAATATATAACACAGTTAGTTCTTCATGCTTAAATTAATTCTTAAATGATTGTTTGTTTATTATGTTTAATAATATATTTATCAGATCATAAAACTACGACTACAAGACACTACAAGACTACAAGATACCAGTACGCTGGAACATAAATATAGAAATGGTTATTATAACAGCATTTAACTGCAAACGTTAACTGTAGTTAGTTAAGTTCTTCGCAGTCCCTCTATTCCTACTTTTTATTTCCTTTGCTACTACTCATTTAAAGAAAATAGAACTTAATTTATTATCTTAGAAGCAAGCACATATTAAAGATTAAATACAGCCTATGAGATTTATTTGAGGGATGAGGATGAATGCTATTTATATTCCGATCGTAAAGCGTTTCAAAAACCAACTGACCCTATTGGCGGTTCTGATCTATCAGATCAACAATGCCGTTGAATTTAGTCCTCTGAAAATTCCATTATAAACCAGGGCACCGAAAGCACTCATGTGGTTTTGACAAATGGAAATATTCATTTACATAATCCGGAGATCTATATCAACTCTATAATAAAAAATTAAGTTAATCAATACCTTTTATGATTTATGATAAATAATACGGTAAAATTTATTCTTTTGGGATTTGGTTATGAGTTACTAAATTACATAACTAAAAATTTTAAGAAAACTAGTACAATATATTACTGAATCTTAATGTAGATTAAGGAGTACAATAAGCACATGAAAAGCATTATCTTGATGAATATACGTCGATAAACGACTCACAGTTTTCTTTGTTAATTACAATAAGACGTTTACCAAGCTTTGTGATAATAATCTCACATGGCTACGTAAAAATAATAAATCATATCTACTTTATTC